TGCAACCTTCGGGTGGCATCGTTGTGGCACTGCAGGAGGCCCAGGATAGACATGTCGTCTGAGGAATGGGAGGGGGAGTTGAAATGGTTCGCGACTGGGAGGTGCAATTGTTTATCGCGAACCGAGCGTAGGTGTTCTGCAAAGCGGTCCCCGAGCCTCCGCTTGGTTTCCCCGATGTAGAGGACTTCAGAATTTCCCCTCCCCCTACCGCATCCCAAAACCAGTCCAGCTCGTCCCCGCCTCCCTAACCTGTTCTTCCTCCCACCTCAAGCCGCACCCCCATCTCCTACCGACTAACCTCATCCAGCAACCCTTGACCTGTCCGTCCTCCCTGGACTGACCTATCCCATCCCTAACTCCCCACCTACACTCACCTTTACTGGCCCCATCCCCGCCTCTTCGACCTGTTTGTTTCCTCTCCACCTATCCTCTCCTCTATCCATCTTCTATCTGCTTCCCACTCTCCCCCTATTTATTTCAGAACTTCCTTCCCCTCCCCCATTTCTGATGAAGGGTCTAGGCCCGAAATGTCAGCCTTTCTGCTCCGATGATGCTGCTTGGCCTGCTGTGTTCATCCAGCTCTGTACCTTGTTGTCTCAGATTCTCCAGCATCTGCAGTTCCTACTATACCTGGGATATTGTGAACAGTTTTGATTCCCTTATCGAAAGGGAAGATATGCTGGCATTGAAGGCAATCCAAAGAACATTCACTAAATTCATTCCAGTTATGGAAGGATTTACTTACGAGGAGAGTTGAGTAAGTTAGGCCTGTACTCATTGAGTCCATTCTCATTCAATGAGATAATGGCTGATGGGATAATCCTCAACTCCATTCCCTGCTTTATTCCCTTAATGACCCAATATCAACAGCCTTTTATAGTAAAGAATTCCTCAGACTCACCTTCCTCAGAGAACAAAAATTGTTCTTCATCGGTCTTAAACAGGCAACTCTTTTGTCTGATATCACGGTCTCTGAAAATGGGCAAAATAACTGAACTCAAGACGGGAAATGAAATGACCAGCTTTGGACATCAAGGCAAACGTTTGACTGGAGTGAGTGTCAATGAGCTCTCGCAAAACTGAAGTCAACGGAGATCCATGGGAAGACTCTCAGTTGGAGTCATACTGACCACAAAGGAAGATGGCTGAAGTTATTGCAGGTTTAATTACCTCAGTCCCAAAACATTACTGAGGAGTTCCCCAGGTTAACGTCCTGGGTCCAAAAATCTTCAGCTGCTTCATCAATGAACATCACTCCAGCTTAAGAAATGGGAATGTTCAGATGACTGTACAATATTCACTACTATTTGCAATTCTTCAGTGATACCTCCCATGTCCATGTCCAGCAAGATCCGGGACAACATCCAGGCTGGGATTAAAAATGGCAAGTAACATTCATGCAACTCAAGTGCCAGGCAACGACAATCTCAAAAACATATCTAAGCACCTTCTGTTGACATTCTATGGCAGTATTAGCCACGAGTCATCCATTAATCCTGGGAATGAAAAATAAGAAAATGCAACACCAAACACATACACAGTTAATAAAGTTTTATAAAATGTGTGGGGAGAAGGATTCTAGTACAGACCAGAATAATAAAAGCAAACACAGTTACAGATCTTAAGAGTCCCTTCAGTGGCAATAATGAAAAGTCCTGAGTTCAATTGTTCAGCTATAGTTTCTTGTGTAATGGCAAAGCTGCACCTGTCCTGGAATTCTCAGTAACTGGTTGTTGTTGTTGTTCCCAGTTGCTTTTCAATGCTAATTCCTGACCTTGCTTTCTTTCAAGGGAAGATTTCAGAAACCTCACTGGTATCAGTCCATGTTGCTTTCTCTCTCCTGTGTCAGTCAAAGTCTGCTTCTGATACATAGTTCCTTGATGCATTTTAGGCTCAGTGTCATCTTTTTTTTCCTTCCATTTAAGTATGAATAAAACAAGAATTGCATACATCTTGAAGCCTGTATTTCAGTGTCCCTTGGAAATGGTAATTCTGATGCAGCTGGTTTTTGCATGGGCTTATCAGGTGATCACAGGAGACATTTTAGGTCATAGTGCCCTTTTAAAAATCACTTTTAGCTCATGACAGACTCACTTATTAAAGTCAAAATAACAGAAGTTGAATACGGATAATCCATTTTCACACGTAAAGACTGTGGCTACATCAGCAGATTAGAGACTAGGAAAATATTGGAGTTTGGTTCAAATGTGGTTTCCTACTCTTTGAAAGGATGTTATCATCACAAGGTCAGATCCCAAGTTTCTCAAAGTCATCTGGTGCATTCATAATACTTCAATTGCATTTCTTTTTGTAACAATTTCTACAATTAGGGAATAATTACCATGTGGTTCCACACCATGTAGCAAATTGGATTACACCTTTTAAAAAAAAATCTTTGATCAAGTATTGTTATTGAAATTTGGTGTCAAAACTGTTCATTTTGCAGCACCAAGTCAATTATACTGGAAGTTACAGTCTGAGTATTTTCAACAGCTGTAGGCTAATATTAATGCTAATATAAATGTAATGGTAGCTACTGTTCTGCAATAATCAGGCAAAAGGTCAATCCAAACATCTATAAATACAGATATCTAAATATATGAATAGAAGCAGATAAGCCCTACATTTCAGTTCTCGTGAGTAGATGCAGGTTCACTGCCTGTTATTTTAATAGTTAATGATGTTGAGAGATCTTTATTCTCATAGTTAATTATTCCCAGGTTTGTCTTACATCAAAAAGTTCAGGCTGGATGGCAATTACCTTATTAACTCTCAGTTATGAAACCCACAACTGACCGAGTGAACTCTTTTCAGGCAAGCAATTATGTACACAGAATTCCAAAAATATAAACTACATCATTACTAAACATTAAAACACAAATTTTAGTATATAAAAGTTTTAGACAAGATTGGCAAAAAACTGATTAATTAATAGACTGTATGTCATTTAGTGAAATGCATTACTTCATGAAAACTGTGGTGTATCATATTTCAAGTTTAATTTGCCAAATATTATGTAACAGTTGATACTCATATGAACAAATATCTTGGCAAAACTTATCAAGGACTAAATTTCTTTGCTATCGAAGAAGTTGATGGTATTTGAATGAATTTCAGTACATATGCTAATGTTTCACTATGTTAGCAGAGTTTTTTTCAACAGGTTTGACAAGCAAAATAATTGTCGGTCTTTTCACTCCTTGAGACAATGGTGTAAGTTTCTGGGTAATCACACTGATTGTGGCAGGATTATTTAGTCCATCTTAACTGTGGTTTATTTACGAATGCTGCTGTTTGAATTAACTGGCTAAACTCACATCCGGAAAACAGCCGTATCCAAATAGGCGAAGGTACAGGTTGAATAGAAAAGAAAAAAAGTGAAGGAAATTCATAGAAAAAAAAAGTACATTTACTTCAGTGGCACAAGCCTTTACACTATCTCAGAGCATTTATATGATCTGTAGGACTTAATAGAAGTCAGACTTAAAATATTTGAGAAACATCCATTTCAGCTCACTGCATATATAATTTTCCATTCAACAATTTGTTAAATATTAGGAACTTATAAGAATTAGAATTAAGAAACTAAAACACATTCCTTTTTACTGTTTGTAACACAATGTTTTGAAACAAAATACATTTCGCTATAGCTTCAAACATTACTGAGAGTTGTTCAGAAAGTGCTATTTGTGCCTGCTTAAATTTTGTTTCCTCCACAGTCTGACTTTGATATTGCTGCTCCCACTCTCAGAATTGGTATATAGTTAAAAAAATTGTATATGGAGAGTTTAAAACAATTTTACCCGTGCAATGAATCAGAAGCCCACTGATCTACAAGCATAAATCATGTGGAAATTTGGTTATTTGAATTAACACATTCCTAATTCACAGAAAACACAGGTTTATTACAATTAAATATCACATTATTTTGAATAGAAGGAAACAGCAACTTGTCCAGTTTAAACAACTTTATTACATAAAATAACATGTAAATATTGCACACTTGATACTAAATGTTACACATTGAGTTTTACATGGAGACTTTCTGCTGAATAAGCATATATACCGTCCACACACCAAAACAAATTTAAAACAAACTTTGTCTTAGCATTGCAGATTGCCCAACAAATTTAATTTGACAAAGACTTGACAACAGAGCAGTATGAAGACATCGCAATCAAAAGAAATAATTTACAACAATATGCAACATAATACAAATTTTAAGCTGTTTGAAAATAACAAAATACATAAGTCTGACATTCTCCAGAGACCATAAAAAGAAAGATAAAATTCATTCTAATCTAAAGTTATTCATCTGAAATGAGCAACCAATTTTACATGCCAAACAACTTTCTTAAACTTAGTGAGCATTGTTGGGAACAGATTGTTCCGTAAATCTCCTGATCCAATGAAGGAAAATTAACCTCATTTCCAGGTCCTTAAAATGTGAAGCTACACAACCATTTCCTCATTGAATGTTGAAAAGAATTTGGCAATGCATTGTCCCCCTCCCTACCTTTGCCACAATAACTCATGATCTTTACCAAAATTTAATCTCATCCAACTGGTATATACAGTAAGATCAGTTCTTGTATAAAAACAAAGCAAACAGAAATCTGGTGTTTTAATTTAATTCAATATGTATTAAGACAACAGGAAACAAAACATATTCAAATCAAAACAGGTTCCCGAGTTACTTAAATTCTATTATGATCAATCATTATTCAGAACAGTATAACATTGACACTTTAGATTGTTAAAACTATATTTGATATTACATAATTTAAGGACATTTAAAGACATACATAATTGTTTCATGTCCCATTTTCCATGTAGTGACTACAATAATATTTCTACAATAATGATATCAGCTTAAGTTCAGTTAACATATTTGTTCCATGAAAGGTTCAAGCTCCAGTTTAACAGATGCCTGAATTTCCCCAAGTGGATGCAATCTGCATCCATTCGGCCAACGTCAATCTTGCTGATCTTATAAAAATAGCCCAAATATAAAAAAGGAGAGAGTTTGGCTTGAGCAAAATGGAAGGAAAATGCTAACTTTATTTCATTTATTCCTTCTTTAAACTGGGAGAAATGAAATTTCAAGCCATTCAACCATTATGTGTGCATGTTTGACAAAGATTTATAACCTACATGGGGAAAGCTTCTCAACTTTGAATGTAACTTAGTCCTGTGATATAAATAAATTATGAAGAAACAGAATGACATCCAGGTATCCAAGAAGATAAATTTAAATGAAAGATCAAAACATTTCAATAAAGCACCAACAGTTTTTTTTTGGAGATGTTCCTGTACTTATATTCAATGACAAGTAGCAGCTTTTAAAAAAAACAAACAGTGCAACTTTAGCAGACACAAAATCAATGGCCCAGCCAATTATTTTGGGAATTTGTAATGAAGAAAGTACCCTTAGGACAGCAACAGGCAAACAAGAGTGACAATAGATTAAAAAAAACTAATCCAAGCACAATATCTTGGAATTTTTATCTTTTAATACTTGCACTAGGAATAAAATTGACAAAACGATAACTTTTGCTATATTGCTTTTATTTCCGAGAATCCTTAAGACAAACAGAAAAGATTTCAAGTTCCTCAAGGCAGTAAACAAGGGTATGAAAATGACAAAACATGCAGAATTTACAATTTTTTTCGTTCCTTCTCAAAGGAAAATTGAAAACATAAATGAACACAGTCAATTTGACAATATTTTCACTTGACACTATGTAGAGGAAAGTGCAGAAAGACAAAATGAGCTGAAAATTCCTTCAGTTGTTCTTTTTTTAAAAAATTAGCCCAATGGTCATTGATTGAGAGAGACTAAAGCTGCCATAAATACTGCACAATTTATACCCAAAATTAAAATGCTAGTAATTAGACAATAGTTCAAAGACTTGGCATTAATATCACACCCATGACATCTTAAAGTGCTTTAAAGACAATGAAACAGTCATTGCTGCAATGCAGAAAACAGCATTCGAATGGCACACAGCAACATTTCACAAACAGCAGATTATCTGTTTTTATTGATTTTAGTATTGGTAATTAAGACACGTGGAAAACTCTTCTGCTGTTCTTCAAAAAAAAAACACCATGGGATCTTTTCCACCAAAAAAAAAGGGCAGGCAAGGCCTCTATTTAACGCCATTATCAGAAAGATAACAAGCCCAACAGTGCAGCAGTCAACCAAATTTTGTACTCAAATCTCCAACATGGCACTTGATCCTCAACCTTCTGATTCAGAGATGAGTTTCCTACCAACGAATAATAGCTATTGGTCTTACCTGGTACATTCCCCAGTGGGGGAGAAAAGCTTAATGGTATGTTGGCCTTCATTGTGAGAAGTTGAGAGGATAGGAGCAGGGATGTGTTGTTATACAGGGCCTTGGTGAGGCCACACCTAGAATATTGTGTACAGTTTTGGTCTCCTTTTCTGAGGAAGGATGCTCTTGCTCTTGAGGGAGCGCAATGAAGGTTTAACAGGCTGATTCTGGGGATGGCGGGTCTGACACATGAGGAGAGATTGACCAGGTTGGGATTGTTTTCACTGGAGTTCAGAGACTTATAAAATTCTAACAGGACTGGACAAGGTAGATGCAGGGAGGATGTTCCCGATGGTAGGTGTGTCCAGCACCGTGGGTCACAGTATGAAGATTCAGGGTAGACGATTTAGAATGGAGATGAGGAGTCATTTCTTCACCCAAAGAGTGGTGGGCCTGTGAAATTCATTACCACAGAAGTAATTGATGCCAAAACATTGAATATATTCAAGAGGCAATGAGATTTAGCACTTGCGATGAATGGGATCAAAGGTTATGGGGAGAAAGCAGGATTAGGCTATTGAGTTGGACTATCAGCCATGATCATGAAGAACGGCACAGCAGGCTCTACGGACCCATTGACCTCCTCCTGCTCCTATCTTCTATGTTTCTATGTTTCAATGTAACCTTCACAACTCAGCAGTTATGGTGACAATGCAAAGGCGATCGGTCTCATCTCACATCAGATTCAGCCAGCTTTGAGGATTGAACTGAAGTTTACAAGCTTCTTTCAATCTGCAACCATCTCTTGCCATGATGAAGAATCAATGCTTTTAACAAAAATAGGTTCAAGGGTTTCAGTAATAACAAAAACAGTGCGCAACAGCTCAAATTTAAGCCGACTGCTCATCCCTAATATGCTTTTAATTTTCCATCTACTGTATTTAGAAGGTAAGAAAAAGTTATTCCTTGAAACATCTATTTTTGATTTAAATACTTGTCACTTGTGACAGAAATGATGAATAATTATGCACATTTTAATATCATAAAATACTATTATTTTTACATTCTAAGTGCAGAATAGATTAATTTCAGCAAGTTCTGGGAAATGCTTGTGTTTGTGAATACACAAACTTTTAAATACAATATCTATATGAGCATCAATTACCACAGCTTTACACTCTTCAACTTAGGTTGGTGCTACATGTTTCAACAATGCAGCAACATGATCTTGTCATAAAAGCTTAGCTATTTAGATCACTTAGTGACTGATTAATAGAAAATGAATAAAACATTATGCATACATTTGCAGATACTAAGTACATAAAATCTAGAGCGCCCCTGGGAGGTCAGTTTTTCAGTCCTAGTTCATATCAACAATGCTTCCATTTTTCTTCAATAAATTGGTTCCCACATATACTATCACAAAATACTACCCTCAGTTCTATCAAGCCCAGGGCATCTACAATTTAAAGTCATGGTTTGCTGGGGGGAAAATTACTACTTCAGTCTCTGACCTCTTCAAGTGTACGAGTGGAAAAGTTAATTGCTATCTCTGCACAAAGAGAATTTCACAAAATCAACTTGTTCAACTTGAAGACTCAACATTAAAGCGACAACACTGGCACTTTGTACCCAGCAACTACAGACAAACTGATATGGAGGTCAGCAAGTCATTGTGGAAAGCATTCAATGATCAATTACTGTCCAGATAAGATTGCATCCTGTATGGAATATGGTTTAAAATGTACAAAAACTAGACACTGATTAATAAAATTGTAATCAGAAAAAAATAACACTCATTAATATAATGACCTATTAGTTTAAAAAGAGTGGTTAAATGTAAACAGTCAGAAAACCCTTAAATTTTAATTCTTCACTTTCTTATCACATCTTAGTTCAAAGCAAAGTTCCCTTTTGATCTTGACATAAGTATTTAGTAGCAAGTCATCAGGAAACAGAAACATTCCATACGAGGTTATAATTAACTGAGTCGCTGACAACCTATCTTTTAGTCAAATCCTGAACATTTGAAGGTACATCACAAGAACACCATAAATTTTGTCATTTTCATAGTAAATTGTTTCAGCTCTCATCACAATCAGTAATAATCATGAAATAGCTATATTTCCACTTGAAGTATCACATTGGAGTTAGTTGCTCAAAACATGTATTTTCAAAAGAATGATCACAACTGGAAATATTTATCACAAAAATATTCAGTTTTACGTCAACGTGCAAATAAGCAGGTTCAATTACTAAATTTTAGAGCAGCGGTCAATACTTTTGAAATTATTTGAAATAATATGTTTTTGTTAGTTGGTACTTCTCAGAGTACCCACCAGCAAAATGTATATTTGAAAAGAAAACAATAAGATCGATGAGGTGAAGCATGGTGAAAGGGAAAGTTTCTAACAATGATTCTCGATTTCAAAAAAGTGCCTTGATTCTCATTTAAAAAAAAAAGAAATTTTTTCAAGTTTTGTGAATTATGAAAAGGTTTCCCATTTCAAATAAATGGATCAATAAGATTTGGCAATTTACCATAAGTTGGATGTGAAATAATGCTCAACATTACTACAAGGAAATGCTTAAAACAGTTTTGCAAATCAGTGAAGTCAATATTTTAGAGCATTCAGATTTAGTCTGTTCATCATATTTCTTGTAGTGTAGAAATTTGTGTGCAGCAGAAATGCTTCGTGAATATATTCTATCAGCTATTCAGTAGCCAGCATCAAGTCAACTTATTTTATTGGATTTATAACATTTCCTCCAGTTATATCTTTAAGCCACAAATAAGGGGGTGAACTAACTCAGTTGATTGGACAGCTGGTTTGCGATATAGATTGAGGCCAACAGTGTAGGTTCGATTTCCACATCAGTTGAGCTTACCATGAATGACTCCCCTTCCCAAGCTCTCTGCTCATCTGAGTGTGTTGACTCTCAGGTTAAACCGTCACCAGTCATCTCTCTCTAATGACAGCAGCCCTTGGTTTGATACAATTATAGTAACTTTAAAATCCGATTGAAAATTGTATTTAGGAATATTTCCATACAACAAAATTAAAATTCTCAAAAGACATTTGTAAAAGTGGTATTTAAAAATAAATCTAAGCTTTAAAAATGTACATATCATTGTGTCTTTTAAAATGTAGTTTCTTGATTAAATCCGATCATAACTGAAACCACGAGAATGTATTTCAGCCTTCCATTCCACAAGGATGAAAGATATTGTGCCAAAGAATCCAGTCATGCCAAGGATAAGCAGCTGCCACTTTAGCAGTAGATAATTGCTGTAGCCAAATGCTATTGCTGCACTGATAGACTGGTGGAGAGAGAAAAATAGCATTCAATGAATATATTGCTCAGAAGAAACTTCAATGTATAGGATAAACAAAAGTTTTTAACATTAACATTGAATATTAAACCAAACCTTGTATTGCTACAATTAATATATTGTTATGAATATTTATCTATTGCCCTCAGATCAAGTACACACACAAGAAAGCAGTTCACACTTACTTGCACAAACTTGAAGACAGCAAACGCAGGGGCACTTTCTTCAGAGTACATATATCCTACAATACTAAGGAGTTGTGTGTTGAAACAACTATCACCTAGTCCCAGGAGGAAACTGCAAACCATGGCAATGATTTTGCTGTGGAGTAAAAAAAACAAATTATGAGCTGGAAAATTCATCAACACAAACATAAAACTTGTAGTATATCTCTATCACTCAAATGCTGAAGAAATTTTAACTCGTGTTTGGTCTTTGGGAAAAGGCAAGATAAAACTAAACAACTGTTTTTCAAAACTGAAATTACAAGAATTCATTTCTGTCTATCATTGCACAAGGACAAAGAGACTGCAAAGATCCTAGAAGCACCAAGTAAAGGCACTCTGTGCAGTCAGGGATTTACTGCTACAGGAGCTATTGCTCAGACTCGGAGTGTGGCAGACCAAGCCGCAGATACTTTGACACATTAGAGTGGGGGAGACTTACCTGCAAGTTTTGTAACAAGGGACAGACACACTAATTAAGATAGGGTTTTCTGATATGGTGAGTCATCAGGAGCAGAGAAGTGTGACTGCAAGTAAGGCAGGTAAGGAAACTCAGAGCAGAAACCACAGCTTTTGCTGTTGTCCAACAGGTTTGAGATTTTTTTTCAGTTTGCTTGGATAAAAGTGAGGGCTGCAGGATGGATGAGCTAAATGATCGTGACACTGTCATACAGGACACTATTTAATTAGCGGGAGTAAAAAAGCAATGTCGTGGTAGTAGGAGACAGTGTAATAAAGTGAATTGACTTTTCTTTGCAGCAAAGAGCGACGGTTACCTGTTGCTTGACAAATGTCAAGTCCAGGATATCTGCTCATGGTCAGAGAGAAATTTGGAGTGGGGAAAGGGAAGATCCAGTTGTTGTGGTTCATGTAGGTACCAGGAACATACACAGGTCAAAGAAAAGGAGTTCTGCATAGTCAGCATGAGGAGCTGGGCATCGAATTAAGTAGAATTTCAAAGGTAATAAACTCTGGGTTATTACCGGAGCTATGTGCAAATTGGGATGTGAAAGTAAGATTCAAGAGATCCATGTGTAACTCAGAGGCTGGTGTGTGAGAAGTGGGTTCCACTTGACGGGCCACTTGTACTGGGAGAAGTGAGATCTTCACCATTGGGACTGTCCAATGTCAAACTCTGCTGGGATTAGTGTTCTAACCAGCTGCATAACTGGAGAAGTAGAGAGGAGTTCAAAAAAAATTACTGGAGGCAATGGATCAAATTTGGCAAACACGGCACGAAGAGTAGAGACAAGATGTTAAAGAAAGGTATTAATGCCGGAAATGATAAACAGGCTGTGATAGGAAGGGGTGGAGTGAGCAAATCCAAGATTAAATCAACAGATAAAATTAGATTAAAGTAATAAAGTGTGAAGGCACTTCTGAGATTGAATTTTACATACAGTTTGAGGGAGAGAAGACTGGATCCAAGACTAGCATTTTATTTTTAAATAAGGACAATTGTGAGCCATAAAGTAAAGCTAGCTAAAGGGAGCTGACAAACTAGGTTAAGGAATAGGTAAATAGAGATGCAGAGGCAGACATTTAAAGGTATATGTCAGAATATACAGAACGGATGCATTTCAGTAAGAAAGGAAAATTCCAAGGAAGGGACTTTCCATTTGGTCACAGAATCTCAGAATTGTTATGGCTCTAAAGAAAGCTATTCGGCCCATAATGTCTGCACCGGCTCTTCAATGAACTTTACAATTTAGTGCCATTTGCCTGCCTTTCACCTATACTCTTGCACATGGTTCCTATTTAAATAATCATCAGATGCTGTCTTAAAAGCCTCAATTTACTCTGGCTCCAACATGCTTCCAGGTAGTGCATTCCAGAAAAAGCTTTTTTTCTCACATTACATTTGCTACTTTTGCAAATCAGTTCCCTCTTGTTCTTGATCATTTTACAAGCAGAAATAGTTTCTCCTCTACTCAGGCATCTCATGATTTTGAAAACTTTCATCAGCTCTCCTCTTGGCCTCCTCCTCTCCAGAGAGAACAGTCCCAACCTCTCCGATTTATCCTCATAACTGTAGTTCCTCACCCCAGAAGCATTTTGGAACATTTCTTCTGTACTCTGTCCAATGCATTTCCTTGCTTCCTAATCATACCACCCAAAAATATACACGACACTCCAGATGAAGTTGATCAAATGCTTTATACAAGGTCAGCATAACCACCTTTCTCTAGTCCACTACACCGCTACTGGTTAAGGTCTGGATGCTGAATGCTTTATTAACCGATCTCTCAACCTGTTCTGCCACCTTCAGTGTTCTGCTCATATATACAGCTAACTCTCTCTGATTGATAAAGACCATAAGGCAGAGGAGCAGAAGTAGACTATTCAGTCCATTGAGTCTACTCACAGTTCAATCAAAATATGGCACCTCAAGTGCACTTTGCTGACTTGTCCCCATAATCCTTGATTCCCGACTGATTAAAAATCTGTCCATCTCAACTTTGAATATACTTAATGACCTCGCCTCAACAGCTCCCTGTGGTAAAGAATTCCACAGACTCACTACCCTGAGAGAAGAAACTCCTCATCTGTCTTATACTTGCGAAACCTTAAACTAAGACAATGCTGTCTGGTCCTAGACTGTCCCATAAGGAGAAATAACCTTTCCGCATCTACCCTGTCAAGACACCTAAGAAACTGGTATGTTTCAAGAAGATCACTTCTCATTCTTCTGTATTCCAACGAGTACAGGTCCAACCTATTACATCTCATCTTCATAAGACAGTCCCTCCAGACCTGAAATCCGCCTTCTCTGAACTGCCTCTAATGCTAGTATATCTTTCCCTAGATAAAGGTGCCCAAACTGTTCACAATATTCCAGCTGTGGTCTGACTAGTGACATGTAAAGTTTTAGCAAAATCTCCCTATGTATTTTCTCCATTCCCTTTGAAATAAAGACATTCAAATGCCCCCTTATTACCCTTTAAACCTGGATGCTAGCTTTCTGTATCATGGATGAGGAGGACCAATCCCTCTGTTTTGTTGCGCTCTGTAGTTTTTGTCCATTTAAATGATATTCAGCTCCTCTATTCTTCCTTCCAAAGTGCACAACCGCACATGATATTCCAAAGGTTTTAAGAAGAATAGCCCTACAACCTGAAGTATTATAGCTCCTTTTGTATACTATGTCCAGGTTCTTTGTACATTAATGCATCACCTCAGCTTTGTGTGTGCTGAACTGTATCTGACACCTGTCTGCCAACTCCATCAACTTATAAGACGTTATAGTGAACTCAAAATCTTGACTAGTTCTCGCTCCACAGATGCTGCCAGACCCATTAAATTTCTCCAGCATTTTCTGTGCTTGTTTCAGATATCCAGCATTCACAGTATTTTGCTTTAATGTTTAATTCATAGCCATGTCTCCTCCAGGCATGCCCACCTCGAAGAAGTTTTGCCCTTTGTCTGATGGTGTTTCAGTTTAATCTTTCAACTTGTTCACCTTCATTGCTTTCTTTTACCCTCTTAATGTTTGTTGAAGTGTATGCCAAAACTCACTTTCACAGCCACATCTCTTTCCTTAGTGGCCATCTCCACTCTGCCTTACTGTGCATGGATTCCAACCTTCATGTTTCAAACCCAAACAAGATTACAGGAATTTGCAAGACTTTTAGTGCTCCTCAGATAGTTACTGTCACAGCATCCTGAGATCCACACTTAGTGTCGCGCACCACCACATCCACATTCTTGATCTTTACACAACCAGCACTGCCTCACACTATTTCAAAGTTGTCCCGATCAGCAGTTTCATTCCATTTTTTTGTTTCATTTGATGCTTTAACAAGAAATGTTTTCTCTTCTTTTCTGGTGTTGAAAAATAAAATTCCTCAAGAATCATCCTGAAATCAAACCATTAACTGTTTTTCTCTCCATATTCTTCCAGACCTGCTGAGTTTCTCCAGAGTTTTGTGTTTATTTCACCAACTTGTCTGCATACTTTTGGAGTTGTGAACGATTCTTCTCACAGTTTACAATGCTCCCAAGTTTCAGATCAACCACAAACTTCGAAACTATCACCTGGACACCAAGATCTCGATCATTAATATATAATCAGGAAAATCACAGGTCCCCATACTGACTTCTGGGAACTCCATTACAAAACTTTCTGCAGCCCGAAAATACTAGTTAACCATTATTGTCTGCTTCCTTTCACTCAGCATGGTCTCTCTTATTGTTATAAAATTATAATCCCACATGACATCTGAGCCTGTAACTATCTAATCTTATTTATGCACTCATGCACATGCATAGTAAATCCAATTTAGACTTAATTAGTTGCTCCCTTACCTACAACTTCACCCAATGGCTTCCTATTGTCTCCTAGTGCTCTCCATCTCTCCAAGTATTGTGTGCACCCAGGTATTCCTCCCTAGTATTGTCTCTTGGTTCCCAAACTCGCTGAATTACTTTCAAGCCCTCCCAACATCATCAACAAAACACCCTCCAAGAAACTGAGTCCCAACTCCATTCAGTGCAACCTACGATGCCTGTAGAAGTGCCATCTTTTCAAGAGCTAATCCCAGTGTGTGAGGAATCTAAAGCCCTCCTTCCTAGATCATCTTTCCAGACACATTCATCTACCATATCCATCCAGTTCTGGATGCACTTGCACATGGTGCTGGGAGTAATCCAGAGATTATTACATTTGAGGTCCTGCTTGTTAATTTCCTAACTAGTTCCCTAAATTCAAACTGCAGGATCTTATCCTTTTTACTTTCTAATGCATCGGTCCACATTGGTATCACAGTCTCTGCCTGTTTACCAACTCCCAGAGAATCTCCTGCAGCTACTCTGCAATTTGCTTGACCCTGGCACGAGGCAGGTAACATACCATCCTGGAATCACACTTGCAGCCATACAAACACCTGTCTGTTCCTCGAACAAATTAATCCCCAATCACTATAACTCTTCCTTTCTTTTTCCTCCCCTCTTGTGCAGCAAAACCATTCACAATGCCATAAACATGGCTCTGACTACACTCCCTTGAGGGCCCAATTTCCAAAGTGGAAAACAATTTGTTCACTGAGAAAGTTAAAGCTGGTACCAAAGCGAATAATGAAAAAGCTGAACTAATAACAGCAAATAGGCAGATGGCCTGCATCCTAGAATCTTAAAAGAAGTGGCTAGTGAGATAGTTGATGTGTTGGTTTGAATTTTTCAAAATTCTCTGGATTCAGGGAAAGTTCCATTAGATTGGATGATCGCAAGTGCACTTCGTCTATTCAAAAAGCAAGTGAGCCAGAAAGCAGAAAACTACAGGCCAGTTTGCTCGACATCTGTAATAGGGAAAATGTTTGAAGCAATTATTAAAGACATTATCACAGCGCACTTGGATAAGTTTGGAGATGATCAGGCAGAGTTGTAGGCAGCATGGTGGTGCAGTGGTTAGCACTGTTGCCTCACAGCGCCAAGGACCCGAGTAGATTCCAACCTCGGGTGACCGTCTGCGTGGTGTTTGCACATTCTCCCCGTGTCAGCATGGGTTTCCTCTAGGTTCTCCGGTTTCCTCCTACAGTCCAAGGCTAGGTGGATTGACAATGCTAAATTGCCCATAGTGCCCAGGCATGTTTAGGTTAGGTGGGTTAGGGGAATGGCTCTTCAGAGGGGTGGTGTGGACTTGTTGGGTCGAATGGCCTGTTTCCACACTGTAGGGATTCGATGATTTTAACAATTTTTAAAAATCAAATTATTGGATTTTTTTTTTGAGGATGTAACATTCACTGTGGATAAAGGGGGACCCATGGATATACTGAAGATCTGTGCTGGGACTTCAACTTTTTATAATTTACATAAATGACTTAGATGAAGGATGAAGGACATTGTATCATTAGCAAATTTAGCAACAAAGATAGATAAAAATTGTTATGAAAATAATGTATGGAGGCTACAAGGTAAACGAGTATGCAAAAGTCTGGAATTGCAGTGTAATGTAGGAAAAAATGAAATTGTCAATTTTGGTGGGAAGAATAAATATTCTTTATAAAATATTAATATTATTTAAATAGTGGTAGACTGAAAAGCTTGGAGATGCAGAAGGATCTGGGTGTCCTGGTGATGCATAAAAAAGATTAGTACGCAGGTGGGGCATGTAACTGAGAAAGCTAATATAATGCTGTCTTTAATGCAAGGCAAATTAATACAAAAGTAGGGAGATTATGTTTCAGTTATACAGGGCACTGCTGAGACCACATCAGGAGTACTGTTTACAGTATTGGTTTCTTTATTTAATGATGCAAATGCATTGGAGGCAATTCAGAGAAAGTTAACTGGACTAATGTCTGAAATTAGTTTCTTGTTTCATGACGAAATGTTGGACATGACTGAAACACGGAAGGGACGGAAGGAACTTGACAGGGTGAATGTGGAGTGGATGTTTCCTCTTGTGAGGGAATCTAGAACTAGATGTCACTGGTTAAAAATAAGGGATCACCCAGTTAGAACAAAGAGGAGGTTTTTTTTTCTTCTCAGAGGGTTGAGTATCTTTTGAATTCTTTTTCTCAAGTGACAGTAGAAGCAAAGTCTCTGATTTTTTTAAAATACAGATATAGATAGATTGTTAGTAAGCAAGAGGGATCAAGGTTATCAAGATAGGGAGGAATGTGGAGTTGAGGTTACAATTGGATGAACAACCTTATAAAGTGGCAGAGCTTGCTCGAGTATCTAAATAGCCTATTCCTGCTCCTAATATGTTTGCTCATATGTAACTAGTTTATAAACGCATATAAACAATTTTAGAAAAGGTGGAAAGCCAACCCATTTCTAGCAAGCAGCCTTTGCTTCCCCCATTGAAGGTGGGGAAGCTGTCAGCATATTCTTCATATTAGAATAGAGACCTGTTCAAATGAGCAGTCTTTGAAAATCAAGCCAACATCAAGTGATTACATTCCAGACAGGTTCATCCACACATTCCCTTAACATTTGGCTGTGTAAACTTCTCAATGGCCTAAATGGATCCCGTGCCTCCATCACAAGTCTAGGTTACTTGTGCTTCATTTGCATTAACCAAATGCTCAAAGCAAAAGGCAAAATACACGACCAACCTTGGAATTAAGTAAGAAACTCGATCAGTTCCTTCATCAGAAACAATTGGTGAATCCCCTGGCACATTTAAGAATATCAGATAGAAGGCAATAACATGACATAATAAACCCAGAAGAACAACAGGGTTTCTACCAATGCCAAGGTATTTGCTGAGGAATTTGTTCAATAAACCAAAGGTTGCACCACCTAGAAATAAACAAAATGACAAAACTAAGAAAATGCAATTCTGTTTAATGAAATTGGATTTCAATGTTTAATAGTTAATATAATTGCAAATGATTACAAACCTAAGATTTCTCCAACACCAATGAAGATGCCAGATAAACCAACAAGGCTTTTAGCTTCATTCCCAAAGCGATTTGTAGCCCCCAAACAGGTACCATAAACGCCACTAAAAAAGGTTAGTTCAATACCTAGAAAAGGTAATTCAACAATTTCATTGATTTGATCCCTGCATGAGTTTTTTTTAAACTAACCTTTGAAGCATGTGTAGTTTTATCATGCAACTTCCTCAAATTAACTTATGTTAACAAGACAGCCAATTAGTAAATTAACACCGGTATTGTTTACGATAGGTCTACTTCATGTTGTATCATAGCAACTTCAATTATGTGCATACACAGCTAACCATGGAGGCTAAGTATTTACATTCATCAGAGGTTGGATACATAACATGATTTTAGACCCAAGATGTTTGCTCCAGTCACTCTCTTGCTAGGCATATGGTAACGTTTCAAAATGAACAGGAACCAAACATCTGTAATCTTAAAACTCCATCAGAAATATTATCCATCAAAACTTAATTTTATTTTTAATGGGTATAAAATATTTCAAATATTAATAATTCAAAAGAATTTCTCCACTTTATGACAGATCAGTTTGAAAAATCTAACTGGAAATTATTTTAAATGAAGAACAAACGAAAAGGTACATTGAGGGTAAGCAATCAAGAATTTTAAAAAAATGATTTTCTTAACAAAGAAAATCTCCTATCCTTACAAACTCCAAGTTCAAATTTATATGACTTGTAGAGGGATCTTACCAGTATAAGCAATAGTTATACATAGAAGCAGCATATCTTTAGTGAAGAATATACAGATCGCACTTCCTATTAAAGAAAGAAACGACCTGTTAACACAAAAGATTAACAAAGTTCCTTGAACAAATTACTGAAAACCGACAACTGACTACTTACACATGGACATACAATGCAGAAATTTAATGGAACCGACTAGTTCTTAGCAGTACGTCCCATAAATGGTCAGGTGCCCTTTTTTTTCAAGAAGCCGTTTTGGCTTGGCTTTTTAACTCAGCCAAAAATCACATTTCTCACATATTAAGCACTTTGCTTTCTTTCAAAGTCCACAATACCAGAGAGAGAGGAAGAGAACTGAACGTGTTCTTTAGTCATAATCAATTTGGCTATACAGGCGGCATGAGGTCTAGGAGATCAGCAAAATAGTTTACTCCAGAGCCATTGCCAACAGACAGATGAGTGTGGGTCTCAGATACCTGGTGACACAACAAAATATTACATCACTTAGCATAAAGTGGAGAGATAGCAGTATGGTGCTAATGGCACCTGACAAGTAATCCAGAGGCCCAGACTAATGATCTTCAGTTCAAATTCTATTATGGCACCTGTTGGAATTTAAATTCAAGTAATAAATCTGGAGTTAAAAAGCTAGTCTCAGTAATAATGGTTATGAAGCCATTGTTTATCTGTCATTAAAAAAAAAAAAATTGGTCACTCAACTCCTTTAGGAAAAGGAATCAGTTTTCCTTAGCTGCTTTGGCCTTAACGCGACTCCAGACCCACATCAATGTGGTTGAATCGAAATGCCCTCTGAAATGGCCTAGCAAGCAACTCAGTTAGATCAAACGACTAATAAATCAAAAAGGAACAAAACCACCTAGCATTGTCATTTCTGGATGCTGAACTCAAAGATACAGCCAGCCTTGTTCACCCTTGAAAGCTCTCCTTCCTAACACTGGGGGCTGTGCCAAATTTGGGAGTTGTTCCATAGTTTAGTCAAGCAAAAGGCTGATGCAATCCTGCACACCAAATCACACCTTCCAGACAATATCCCAGACAGATCGTCATCACCAACCCCCAATAGAAGAGTGACTTGATAGCACCACAATTGACCGAGCTGGATGACAGTCTTGAAAAACAGCAGCTAGACTGGATCTACTGCAAGTAGCAAGTGTAACAGAGGGAAAAACATACCTGACCACACTTTCAGCAATCAACATGTAACTGATGCATTTGTCCATAACAGTACTGGTAGGAGTGACCACTACACAATTCCTGTGTAGAAAAATTCCTGTCTGCACACTGAGAATACTATCTATCTACCATGTTGCGCAGCATTATCACTGTGCTAAATGGGATAGATTTAATAACAGATACGGCAACTGAAAACTGGATATCCATGAGGTCCTGTGGACTATCAGCAGCAGAATTGTATTAAATCCTAATCTGTAACAATATTAGCATTCTGACATTTACCCTACTCCAGCTTTACCATGAGGCCAGTGACTCAATAATGGTTTAATGAAGAGGTCAGGAGGGTATGCCAGAAGCACCACATGACATACCTAAAAGTGAGGTGTCAAACAGATAAGCTATAATACAGGGCAACAAGCATACCGAGCAGCATTTGATGGACAGATCTCTACAGTGCTGTAACATTGCTCATGAATGGTAGTGAACAGGAGGATCAGCTCTACAAATATCCCCTTCCTCAATAATGAGGGAACCTAGCAACTCTGCTTGTACTAGTATATTTAATATTAATAGAGCAATATATTATTATGTATTAATATCACATCAAACAAGGAGAAAACATTTGCAACCATCTCCAGCCAGAAGTGATGAGTGAATGGTTAACTTGGGTTCCTTCTGAGGTCGTTGACATCATGGTTCTACCAGTCTTCAGCCAACTTGATACATGCCACATGATCGCAAATAAAGAAATGGCTGAAACACAGGACACTGCTAAGGTTACCAGCCCTGAAAATATTCAGAAACAGTACTGGAGATTTATGCTCCAGATTAACTGCACCCACAGCTAAGGTGTTCCAGTGCAGCTACAACAATAACATCTACCCAGCAATATAGGAAATTGCCCAGTACAAATCTAACACTGCACATTATTGCTCTACTCAAGCATCAAAGTGAAGACATAGTGGACAGTCAAGAAGGTTATCCAAGATTACAAACAGATCTTGATCAATTGGGTTGATGAGCTGAGGAGCAGCAGATGGAGTTTAATTTGGATTTTGGGAAAACAAGCAAGGGCAGGACTTGTACAATTAATGGTAGGGCCCTGGGTGGTACTGTCGAACAGAGGAGAGACCTAGGGGTTCAGGTATCTAATTCTTTGGGAAATTTGTGCCACAGGTAGACAGGGTGGTTAAGGCGGTATTTAGCACAATTGCCTTCATTGCTCAGACCTTTGACTATAGCAGTTGGGGCATCTTGTTGCGGTTGTACAGGATGTTGGTGAGGCCTTTTCTAGAATACTGTGTTCAGTTCTGATTGCTATCAAGAATATTATTATATTGGAGAGGGAAAAAAATTACCAGGATGCTATCGGGAATGGAAGGTATGAGTTATAAAAGACATTTGGATAGGCTGGGACCTTTTTCGCTGGAGCACAAGAGGTTGAAGGGTGAAATTGTAGAGGTTTATAAAATCATGAGGGGCATTGATAAGGGGAATAGCAAGGGTCTTCACCCGAGGGTAGAGGATTTCAAAAGTAGGGGCCATATTTTTAAACAGAGACAAGAAAGTTTTAAAAAGGACACGTGCAGCTATTTTTTTTTTAAACAGAGAACGGTTCGTGTGTGGAATGAACTGTCAGAGGAAGTGGTGAATGCAGGTACAGTGACAACATTTGAAAAACATTTGGATAAGTACGTGAATAGGAAAAGTTAGGATGTGGGCCAAACACAGGCAAGTAGGACTATCTAGTTTGGGAACATGATCCGCGTGGACAAGTTGAACCAGAGGGTCTGTTTCCATGCGGTGTGACTTTATGAAAGGGTCAAAGTGTTATCAAAAGTCACTTACTCAGCCGTTACTTACACACTGATACTCAGTTTGCATTAGATCAGGACTAATCAGCTCCAAATTAGGCTATGATCATTTCCAATGAGAGAGAATCTAACCACTTTCCCTTGATATTCAATGGAATTACCATCGCTGAATACTTCACGATCAACATCCTGCATTTACCATTGGCTAGAAACTGAAATGGATTAACCAAATAAATGCTGCACCTACAAGTGTTTAGAAGCTGGGAGTTCTGTATCAAGTAACTCATTTCCCGAATCGTCATAGCCTGTCGACTAACTATAATGCATGCCACACATTGATGGAAGACTCGCTACTTGCCAAGGTGTGCAGATCCAACAAACACAAGAAGCTCAACATTATCAGGGACAAAATAGACTACTTAATCTGTAACCTTTTCACCACCTTCACATAACTTCCTTTCACCACTGATATACTGCTCAATGAGGCTGCTTCAACTGAAGCTTCCAAACTTGCAAACTTTTTACTATCTAGGACAAGGGCAGATATATGGGTATACTATTACCTGCAAGTTTTATTTTCTTCATTCATAGATGAGGGCATCACTGGCTAGCCAGCATTTATTGCCGATCCCAGAGGGCAGTTAAGGGTCAACCATTTAGCTGTGGGTCTACAGTCACATGTAGGCCAGACCAGGTAAGGATGGCAGTTTCCTTCCCTAACCAACCTTAGTGAACCAGATGGGTATTTCCTTCAATTGGTAATGGATTCTTGGTCACCATTAGAATTTTAATTCCAGACTTTTAGTGAATTCAAATTTCACCATCTGCTGCGACAGGATTCAAACTCAGGGCCCCAGAATATTACTTGGGTCTCTGGATTAACAGTCCAGTGATAATACCAGTAGGCCATCGCCTCCCCAAGTTCCTTTCTGACTTGGAACTATATCACCATTCCCTTGCCATTGTTAAGCCAAAGTCCTGCAATTCCCTTCCCAACAGCACCGTATACTTGCACAAATGGACTGCAATGGATTAAGATGCCGCACCACAACTTCCTGAAGAGCAATTAGGGATAGGTATTGAATGTTGGTGACACAGCTCATGAAAAAGTAAAAATAACTATCTGTGACATTAAATATTTGTCATTAGTAACTGAAATGCAAAATTATGCCCAAGGCTGACTTTTTGAAATCCTTCTTCCTGTCAGTTCTAATGAGTCTTTTACATTCCATTGGCCCTTCAAGGTGACAAAGGAGTTCGAATGAGAAGATGCCAAGGAGAGCTCAAATATTCTGAAGCAGCACACATCAGTGGGAACGCCATCTGACATATCTAGGTTGAACGAGTTAGCAGGAACAGGTGTTGAAGATAAGGTCAGCTCTTGAACAGCTGAGTGTGGTAAACGTGACTCTGGGGTGGGATCATCCACAAATAAAATTACTCAAGAGCAGCAGAAAATGATACATGCATTTGTCATCATTTCCATAGGCACTGTGCACCCTTCAAGTGAGAGATTGGAAGAGTCTGACTCAAATATGAATGCCATGATAGTGCAAGTTTCCACAGATGGCCATCTCCAAGGAAAAAACTGGCTATGTATGGAGAACCAATCACAGGTGGAAATCAGGCACATGGTTACCTTTACCAATGGTCTGAACATTCAGACTATCACTTTCACAGATCAAATCTTTGCGTTGTACATTCAGTGCCTTATTTAAATGCAGCAGTGTATTCACCCAGTGTTTTGGCTGTCAGGGAAGTGCAATCGAGGCCACAAGGGGAATAATGGAGAAATGAAAGTTAAGACTATGTTCAAGGAGTTCCTATTTCCACCTGTTATTGCCAGGTAAACTCCCACATACTGAATCTCCACCTAATGGCCCAAGTCTTCCCGTGCATTTGTGCTGCTGCGGCAGTCTCTCTTCTGCAGTGCTCTCAGGGGCTCCAGAACCCAGAGAATGTGTGCCACAAGTTTCTCAGCTGTCTGAGCAGACAATCAGCCTGCTTCTATCCCTGATGACTCAGGGGGATACTGGGGAAGAAGAGTACGCAGAACAGAAAGGCTTTTGGTTGCATTTAGGTGTTTATAACAATGCTAGTCACATCATTTTCATAAAATTCTCATTAAATGAACACTTCATTTCAAATCTCCATTATCAAGTAATATCTTTAGTTGATTCCTGCACTCTAAATAGACAACAGCCTTCAGAAGAATGACAGAAAGAGAGTGGACGGTAACCAAACAATGTGAAAGACAAAATCCATCCATTTCTAGGAGAATAGATGAATTTTTTGAAGGCAAGAGGGTCATATTTGGTGTTAGTGGGTTCAATATTGGGTTGCTGAAACAAGCCTGTACAAGTCTATCTTGATTTCCCCAGCAGCTAGGTGAACAGCTGCAAGTATCCTGGTCACATGATGTTCCACCTTCAGAGATGCAGAATGGTTTTCACATTCCTCCTTCTACAATTTAAGTTCTCTTTGCTGTGCAATGTTGTGCTAGGTACACGAGGTCACAACCATTTTGGATGCCCACATTGGTGTATTCTGAATTAGTCACTGGAAATGAACCTTCAGCAACCTAAGAATTCACTCAATTAGCCTACTCTACAGTAGGAGTCCTCACGAGCATCATCAGCCACATCTTCACTAAGAAGGTCTCATCTCCAAGGAATATCCACTGACTGTTTGAAGATGCAAAACTCTGTGGGTGATGTGACAGACACATATTGAAGGCATCAAGGCAACATCCAGATATCCTGCTCAAACATGAAACCTTCCCATGGTTACATTATCAGCTGAATAGTAACAGAATGGAATCCTTTTTTGCAGATTAAAAACTCTAGCAAAATTTGAGGGTGCCTTGTCTGTCATGAATGTACTAAATAACTCTGCATACTCGTGAAATTCTGCCACTGTCACAAATATCAGAGTCCTCCAAAATGTGACAACCTTATCAATATCCAAGTTGGTGTAAGTGGTGGTCTTTGCCAGGTCATCAGCCACCTGGGAAATGCACTTGTAGCAGAACATTAGGAAATCTTGCAGATGTTAGCAGCAGATCCCCGAAAGAAAGTGGCAATGTGTGTTCATCTGCTTCACTTGGAAGGAGGATATGTTCCAAAAAGTTTCAGATACCAGTAACAAGTAATTAAGAAAGTCTGAGCCTTTTCAGACTTTATTACATTGCCACATCAAGAAGGGCTGCCTTATACACTGGGCAAAAGCCTCTTTCAAGTTAAGAGTTCTATTCAACCCTTGTGCCAGATGGAGAAGCATGTACCTGTGGAGAAGGCAGCTATCACTGTTGGCGATTCCTTTGGCTGGTCCTGTTGCTGTTGATGTTGATATTACTGTTCCTCTGTTCCTCTTCAGTATGGCTGCATAAGCTGTTACCATACTGCACCGAAGGCGGATGGGAGGGAAGTACTGATCAAAATGAGAAAGTTCAAGCAGGAAAAATGACTCCCAGGAAGTTGGAAGTAATTTTTAAAGCAGTGAAATACAATTGTACCAGTCTTGTGAGCACAAGGATATCATCTAGGCAAGGAAGCAACCATAGAAAACAGAACTTGCTGGAGTAATTCAGCAGGTCTGGCAGCAGCTGTGGAAAGAAAGCAGAGTTAACATTTCGGGTCCAGTGACCTATCTTCTGAATTGTTCCACACTGCTTGGAGACCTGTGAACTTTCTGTTAAAAAGACAGAATATTGGGTGGCAGAATTGGTAGGTTCTTAGATACCCTTCTAAAAGCCAGAAGTGAAAGTGGATCATTTGATGTTTTTGACAAGCCAGCATGTTTTGAAATTTAACTTTTTGCCAGTACCCATACCGCCCCATCCTTGCATAAATCTTCGCAAATGAAGGCATGCTTACGAATTGCACCAATTGCTTGTGATCGTTGTTCTTGAGGTCTGTAAATAAAGCAAAATAGCTCATTAATTCATCACAGAAATCGGTTTTGATGCGGATAGAATTAGTCACTTCTAATGTTTAACATTTAATATTCAGATTAGTAGGTTGTTCCAAATGGATTAGTTCAACTGAAGCAAGACTCTTCAGTAAAGCACATGGTTACAAAATGCCATCTTTAGTTGTTCAGTGCATTTATGGACACATTATCAAAACAGTTGGAATCATTTAATTTCTTTTCGTCGGATTTTGACACACATTCAAACTACCCCAACTGTAGTCTATAGCATACCATATAGTTGAAATGTTGGTGAATGAAGAAAAGAGCTAAAACTAGAGATTAGTTCACTGCTATCCAAGGAAGAAATTGTTTCAACCAATAAATCAGTGTTGTTGCATACGCTGAAGCAAAGAAAAAGTATTTTTGTGAAGGAATTAAACTCCTTTTGTAATGTATATAGTATCCAATTATCTTGAAGTGTTACAAAGTCAAAAAACTGATTCAGATTAAAAAAAAAAGGTCAGAAAGGCTGAGCAGCAATACTGAATCAGTGATAGAAAGAGTTGATGGAATTCCATTGCCCCTGCAGGAAACTGGAATTCCTTTAACAGTCACTCTGGCGTGTATTCCAGCTGCACACACATCAACACTTTAATGCTCACCTGAAGCTTTGGGAAGGTTTATATATACACATAATAAGTGGCTTATAATATTACGTAATATGTACTAGGAACCCATAAAAACAAATAAACTTGCACATTCCTAACTTATTCCTTTGAAAGTTGAATAAAACTGTGCAGAATTTCTCCAGTACGTATGCATACAGAAATAATGAAAAATCAAATCTATAAATTTCCCAACATAGCAAATTGATTAAATAGCTCTTTGTAACTTTAAAAGAAATTGTTGAAGAAATTATAACAAACTTACCCAAGTATAATATCAGACTCATCATCAGATTTGTCCTGTTCTATAGATGAAACTTCAGAAACTGGTTGCTTTATTAAGAAAAAAAGGACACTTCCCACTCCACTAATTGCAGTTAATGCAATATAAACAGTCCTACGATTATGATCTGAAGAAACGAAGAACAAAGATTAGTATTGAATTATTAAGCTGCTAAAACACAAAGGAAGAGGGGAAAAGTATGCTTAAGTTAGGCAATAACAATATACCACAAAAAAAAAGTAGGGAGAAGGAGTGAGGATAAGATACAGTGCCTCCATAAAAAGACATGTGTGGAAAAATGTTTCATGAACGTTAGAGAAGGAAGATGAAGGAAAATATAGGGTACATGCATCTAACAAAAGAAGAATAAAGTTAGGCTACCTTGCTGAAGGTGGAACGGAACTGTAACGGAATGGACTAAGCATTTACATTGTGAAGGAGGGAAAATTAAGATAATTGACTTTTGTAATTTTACCAAAAGGAATAGAAATATTTAAAGGGTTGAAAACAATCATGCATTTTAACATAAAGTGCTCTTATAAAAGTTATAGTTACTAAGCAAACAGTACTACAAACCTTTGAAAGATATTTGCAAATCAAAGGTCACCTGTTATCTGTTTAATAGATTTGAGGTAAATGGAGGTAAATGCACAGAAGGGGCCATTTGGTTCACACAGTTCATGTAATTTCTGTGTATGTAGAACTGAAACTCAGTATCAATTTATAGCTCTGTTTTTCTTAAAACATCTCCAAACAGTTTAAGCATTCTTAAAAACTGAAAGAACTGTGGATGCTGTAAATCAGGAACAAAAACAAAATTGCAGGTAAAGCTCAGCAGGTCTGGGAGTATCTGTGAAGGAAAAGAACAGAGTTAACGTTAACTCTGTTCTTTTCCTTCACAGATGCTGCCAGACCTGCTGAGCTTTTCCTGCAACTTAGTTTAAGCGTTCTTGTTGCATTCCATACTCCATTAATGTCATGCACCTGTAAGAATATACAAAGACCTGTTCTGCATATAAAAGTGGGGATGAAAATCTTGAAATATTTGTCAAGATCAACACTGAAGAAGCTAATGGGGTCAGTGCCCTGGCAAAAATATGTCATTTGAAAAACTAGGAAGCCTGAGGAGTACTCAAAATGTGGAGACTAGACAGTGTGACTATATATGTTTAACAAAACTGAAAATTCAGGATCAGTATGGTAGATGAAGATAGTCAAGAATAAAATCATAAATGATTATAGTACAGGAGGAGGCATTCAGCCTCTCATGCCTGTGATAGGTTTCTGCAAGAGAAATTACATTTGTCCCTTTGCCCCTAGCCTTTTCCTTATATCCATGATACTTTTTCTGCTTCTGATAATCATCCAATTCTGTTCTGAAACTCAAAAATGGGTCCTTTCATTAGTTCCTAATGACACTCCTGTGATATCCAATGAGAAATGTTATGGATGATGTATGCAGCATTTTGGACAATGAAGTCTGCCTCTTGTAATCAAGAAAGAAATTTTGAAAATTAATAAGTAATTTAAAAAAAGCCCTGAAGTACCAAAACAGTCAGAACTCTATGATGGAATAAAACATCTCTGCAGCTGAGTTCCTATTTATATATACCCACAACACATTTTGGAAAAATGAAACTGACCTGAGATGTGTGTTTCTCCCTTCCAGGCAAAATATATGTACAGATTTCCAAACAAAAGACTAGACGGAAAAAAGATGATTAAGTTTCACACTGCTTATTAATGTATTTGCTGTTGTAACTAATACCTAAAATAAAACAATTAATTTAAACTAAAGGTGATTGGAACACAGTTAAATTCAAATAAGATTCATGTAAAGTTTGAAAAGATTTGTAGCTCGGGTTGTGGATGAGGTTGCAGACATGCTCGCCAAACCGGTCAGTTTAGTTGCAAACGTTTCGTCACCCTGCTCAGCAACATCATCAGTGCACCTCCGGTGAAGCATTGGTGTTGTATCCTGCTTGTTATTTACATGCCTCAGTCTGTTGGGGTGTTTGGTACCACTTCCGACTCGGTTTCTCAGTGGTTTGTACACAGGGTCTAATTCAATGTGTTTGTTGATGGAGTTCCAGTTAGAATACCAGGCCTCTAGGAATTCTCTGTCATGTCTCTGTTTGGCTTCTGAGATTATGGATGTCTTGTCCCAGACAAATGTGTGTCCCTTGTTATCAGTATGTAGTGAGACAAGTGAGAATTGGTCGCGTCTCTTGGTGGCTAGTTGGTGTTCGTGTATCCGTATTGTCAGTTTTCTTCCGGTTTAGCCTATGTAGTGTTTCTCACAGTCCTGGCATGGTATTTTGTATACTACACTGGTTTTGGGTATGGGATCCTTTACGTTTGTCAGCAGCTGTCGTAGGGTGGTTGTTGGTTTGTGGGTTACACTGATACCTAGGGTTCTGCGTAGTCTTGTGGTCATCTCTGAACTGTTGTTGACGTTCAGTAGGGTGATTAAGGTACCAAACACTGAGAAACAGAACCGGAAGTGGTACCAAGCACCCCAACAAACTGAGGCATATAAATAACAAGTGGGATAGAACACCGATGCTTCACTGGAGTCACACTGACAATGTTACCTCGCAGGGTGACAAAACGTCTGCAACCAAACCCACCGGCTCAGTGAGCATGTCTACAACCTCCAGATTCATGTAATTTTCTTGTGTCAGAACCTATATTATTTTACGATTCTATGCTGCAGGTATGGATGCAAATTCAGGAATTGCCTTCCAGAACGCAATTCAAATGTCAAAGATTAGAGAAACAAGAAAGAAACAGATTGCCAAATAACACGACACCTGGAGGGCAGTTTTGCATTTCTGTCATCTTGTTATGTTGATTTTCTGAGAGCAGGCAGCACCCTGCCTGATATACGCCAATTACATCAGTGGAAGGTATAGAGCTGGCTGTGCCATAGCTTGTACAGAGAATCAATACAAGTTATTCAAACAAATTTCTTTCTCTTGGACTCGAGAAGGTAATTAAAACTTGAGAAGACTTGAAACATAGGTCAATTTGCATTAAAACACACTACTGTGTTCTTCTCCGTAGCAACAACCAACTCCGCCCCTCTCTCAACCCATCCCTAGTTAGGCTTCTTATTTGTGCCTTTGTAATTGTCATCCCAGACGAATCAATGTGCTTCTAGTCAGCCTCCCATCCTCAAGGCTCAGGAAACCTCAGAACTTTGCATTGTGTATTTCTTAAGAAAAAGTCCCACTCAGCTATCATCTTGCTGAACAAAAACGACTCCCACAGTCAAAATGCAACAAATTTAAAATTCACATCCTTTTATTTAAATTCTTCTGGGGATATTCTTCCTCATCTATGCAACCACCTCCAATGTTCACACTTCCCGGACATCTCATTTCCTCCAATTCTGGCTTTTTGTGCGTGTCCCCAAACCATCTCCCCTATGGCTAAACTGTTCATGGTCATGTCTTCAGTCACTTGGTCCCCACGGTTGGGAATTCTCCCTTAATTTCCACTGCTTTACCTCTTCCCCATGTTCTATTTGACTCACTTTTAAAAACAAATGACCAAGCTTTGGTAATTGCTCCCAGAATCATCATCTTGGCTCCAACTTTCATCTGCTTGCACCACGAGGAATGCTTCAGCATGTTTTTCAAAGTTAAATGCAATGTTAATTAATACAGAGCTCCTTCTTTCCCAAGTTGTATTACACTACACAAAACAAGGCTCAATGAAGATGAGCAATGCACGCATTTGTTAATACAAGTTGTTTTTCCATAATGCTGTTGTACAGTTTGTAAACCTAATTTTACTAAATACCTGAATTGCAACAGAGCCCAAAATATTCCACTATTTCTTCCAATTGTGTTTTCATCCGAGTTTGTTGTCAAACAGGTGCCTTGTGCAGTCCATATCACTGCAATAAGGATCAGAAACATTCAATCATTGTAATAATCATCTCTATGATAACACACATGATTCCCTTCCCGAGTAAGCATGAAAATAGATACTATACGTGCCATTTTACCTCCCTCCTTCCCAGGAATAATAGTGACCTTGGTCACTATTATTCCTATCACAAGAAGCAATAATTCACTTGTACTTTTTATTTAATATACTGTATTCACTGCTTATGATGCAGCCTCAACATTGGAGAGATTGAAAACAAATTGGATAATCACTTTGCAATGCACATTCATGCAGTCCACAAGTATGGTCCTAAGCTTCCAGTCACCTGCCACTTAATCTCCACTCTGCCCCAATTCTGATTTCACTGCTCCAAACCCAACAAAACTGTGTTGACCAGGCAGTTGACTGCCTTCCAGACTTAACATAGAGTTCAACAATTTCAGATCATGACATCTGCTTTTTTTTTTGCATTTCTAGTTTACTGTAATTCCCGACATGGCTCAGGAATCCTCCCTGTGCATAGGCATAATGTACTGGGCAGCAGGTTAGCGGGCCCTCATATGTATTGCAGATTTGGACAAGCTGCATCAAGGAGCTCAAAGTACTGGAGAAGTACCACAGGCACTGCCTTTGCAAAATCATCCAAAGTGCTCCAACGGTATCATCCTCCTCAAAGCATTGAAACATTGAGGTGGTAATCACTCAAAAGCAGCTCTTCTGGGCGTAACTAATTGTTCTTACACCTGACACCAGGTTACCAAAAGCAAGTGCTCCACTCAGAATTCAGGAGGAGGACTGCAGAAAAACTTTAGGAATGCCTTCAAAAGCATCCCTGAAGATGTCAAACATACGTGTTGACTCATGTACGACCCTGGGTTATGATTGACTAAAACAGAGACAGCTCACTTCTAATGGGACCCAAACAAAAACTTTAGTGGGAATATGCAAAAGCAAAATAAAATATCAGAGGGTGCATGTAAATCTCCAAAGAACCAATCTACCCACCCCTGTAAGTACCACTTGCCTCACGTGGCAGTCTTCAGATCACTCATTGGACATATCGACCATCTCAGATAAAACAAAACTTCCTCATCTCTGTCTTAAACAGGCAATTCCCCAGTTCAAGAGATCATGCCTTCTGACTCTCCTAAAAAGGGAAACAATCTTTTCTATTTTACCTTTTCAAGCCCCTAAGAATCTTTGATATTTCTGTAAGGTCTCCTCCCATTCTTCTAATCGCCAATGAGTACAAGCCCAATGTAGTCAAACTCTTCTCACAAGAAAATCCCTCCATGCCTGGAATGTACCTAGATTGACTTTCTCGGACTGCATCCAATGCCAATGTATCTCGCCTTAATTAAGGGGGCCAAAACTGTTCACAATATTTGAGCTGCAGTCTGACGAGTGCTCTGTATAGTTTTAGCAAGACTTCCTTATTTTTATACATTATTCCCATTAAATTAACAGCCAACAGTAAATTTGGTTTCGCTCCTACCTGAATTTGGATGCTAGCTTTTTGTGATTTAACTATGAAGACCCCCAAACTCCTGATGTGCTACAGCTTTCTCCAGTTTCTCCCCATTTAAAAAAAAAATCAACTCTTCTATTTTTCCTACATCAAAGTCCATCTGTCAAGTGTTCAAACACTTATTCAATCGGTCTATATCCCTTTGAAGACTTTTTTCTGTCAAATTCACTACTACCTTCCTACCTATTTTTGTCTTATCTGCAAACTTGGTGACAGTACATTCATTTTCCTCATCCATTCCTCAATCCATGCTAATATTCTACTCCAAACACCCTGGACTCATCTTACTAAGTTGTCTTAATGTGTCGTACTTAATCAAATGCTTTTTGGAAATCCAAATAAATTACATCTACTGGTCCGGTTTTATCTATCCTGCTTGCTTCCTCCTGAAAGAAATCTAATAAAATATGCAGGTACCATTTCCCTTTATGAAGATGTGTCAACTCTCCTTGATTATATTACGTTAATGTTCTGCTATTAGATCCTTTACAATGGACTTCAACATTCTCACAATTACAGATGTTAAGCTAACTACCCTACAGTTATCAGCTTTTTGTCTCTTTCGCTTTTTAAATAACGGTTGTTACATTGGCTGCTTTCCAATTCTTCAGTTTTTTTTGTTCAGAATCTAAGAACTCTTGGAAGATAACTCCCAGTGCTTCCACTATCTCTGCAGCTACTCCCTTTAAAATGCTAGGATGCAAACCATCAGGTGTAGGAGACTTATTGACCCTTAGCCCCATACTCTCTAGTAAAAGTCAAGGTTACGTCGATTATTTACAAGTTTGGAATGCTAACAATGTCCTCCATTGTGAAGATTAATGCCAGTGAGCTGGAAATTGACAAAGCAAGCAATACCTTCAGGAAAATTTAAAAGCATCTTGAGCTTTCCATTGCAGCCTGCACTTATATTGTGGCATAATCTCCTTTCAAACTATGATAGAAGTTCTAATGTAAATCGATGTTTGAACTCACAATGGACTGAGTACGCAATTTCCTTTCTTTCTATTTCACCTAAAGTGCAACAAAACTAGGTTGCAAGTTACAATGCTATTTTCCACAAAGCATAATGAGTGGAAGGGTTTAGGCATCTCACAGTATGCCTGGGAAGAGTAGTTGTTAATTAAGGGAAATGCAAAGGATGTGGCTGAACAAAAATAGGGAGATTTTCTATCAGCTTTTATTAAAATGCCAACTTTATTAATTAACTTAGTTACACACTTTAAACTAACTGCCATGTCAGTGACTTCTATTGGTAAAATTAATCATGAACAAATTAATCGAATCTTCTGGAGAAGTAGATGGAGAGGGGAAAAAATAACTTTACTGAAATAGAAGTTACATTGATATGTTTCCAAACTAAAAACAAGATTGGGCTGTTAAAAAAGTGAGGTACAGACCAGAAATTGGCCGAGTGTCAACCACGATTTCCATGCAAGTACCAGTGAACCCTCTCACACCATTCTTGAAAACTCACCTCACCAGCCATACGCCCATCTTCCTTCTCACTGCTAGAACCCCCTGGACTCCTGGTGCTGACAGCATCCTTAAAGCCCAGTGATGTACCAGCCAGGTGCTGCCCCCTATTGTGC